CGGGGGGGGGGGGGGGGGGTGCATCAAAAGTAGGGGTTCTCTACGTTTTTGACACTTACACTCGGACTTCCCTACGGTTTAGGGGTTTGGAGTTCCGTATGGGGGGTCCTTGGCAGCGGGACCTTAATTTTCAGGGTGTTTAGTAGGGGTTGACTGAAATTTTCAAAACCCTGCTTCAGCTGGTTTGGTCAGAAGGGACTAGCTGGCACTTTGCGATGCTTGCTTGTTGAGGCTCATTTATAACTTGCCGTGTGGACAGATGTCGTACATACTGACACGTGGCCTTAATGCTCGGAGGGATTCGGGGTGCATTGTAGTATCATTGCAGAATTTCGGGGCGAGGAGGGGGTTTTAGCAACACTTTTGTCCGACATCTACATTAAGATTTCTGTTGGGGGCTCAGAGGGCTCGGGGCCTCGGAGGTTTAAACAAGTTCAGAGGTTTTGAGGACAGTTCGGGATGACGCTTGCTGGATTTAATCTGGAAGGTTGGACTGAAAGTCTTGAGCTCTGGCCCCCCGGGCATTATCGCCGACCCCAAGCGTGAAACCCAGAATCCCCCGTGTCCCCAAAAGCCGTCGAGTTGCACGCCGCTGCCTCCTGTTGCCCAGCACTCGTTCGGCGTGCGGTATCCAACATCGATGATGCCAATACCACCTGTTGAGGTTGGCCTGTTAGGTCTGAGCGCCCTACAGCAAGGTTTGTAGGCCTCGAAGCCCACCTCTTCATCCCAAGACCACCGACTTGAAGCCCTCTCGAAATAACATGGCATATAGGGACTCCGTTGACGTTTCAGTTCTCTTAACTCAGACACTTTGCGATGTCGCCTGCAAGCATACCACACTCAATCCGAAATCCTGAATTCCCGCTTCACTCGCGGAAATCTTTGATTTCGTGCAAGTTCTGGATCCACGTCTGGTTGAAGCTGATATAAGCTGATGTTCCAACACAAAGCCTCCCTGTACCGTAGTCTCTTGGCGCTTCTAGGAGCCCTGCCTGAGCGGATCTTTGCGAGCTGGAACAACTCCTGCCGAGGGTAGGAGTATGAACCCCAAAAAATCTGAAATCTCATAGTACGAGTCCATATAGATACAGCATGTGATTGAGAACTACATCTGCTTTACATCCGTTGAGATCATTTGGGCTGTGAGGCGGAAGGGGTCTGGCGGAACGCTCTCAGGCAAATTCGGAAAGGCCACGGCCTCTGCAAGGCGCAGCTATATGGGAGCTTCCAAAAATTATGGTCTCTTATTTTGGCGGTCCTTCTAATAAGGATCCTATTATTTAGGGTACTATTTTAGGGTCCCCTATTTTCGGAAACCCCCATATGAATATGACCATTATAGGATACTAAAGTAAATCACAGCATACTCGACAAGCATACTTTATGATACAACTCTGATCCGCTGGTCATTCACCAGCCTTCGTGTCGGAGGCGAGGTCCGTGAACGTGTTCTTGTCGCACACCGTGACCACACCACCTGCCAAGTATCTGCTAATTGAATCTGTGAAAAGCTCTTTGATCATCTGTGCTTTCGAGTTCCTGTTTCCTAGATGCTCCCCTCTAGAAGCATGGCACCTTCGGCAAGGTTCGAGGAGCAAGGACGTGACAAGCATCCGAGTCTCAACTGCGACCGCCGACTCACGATCGGACCAGCAAGTGAGGCTGATTGCACAAGAGTCTTTGGATGGAGCGTGTGATCGCTGAGGGTGTCCAGCTTAGATCTTAGGCTTGTTCTCGGCAGAGGCTGTTCTTCTCAGCCGCAACCTACTTTAGGCTGGAAATCTCCACAGTCTGACATGTTATACCACCTTCCTGGCCAAGCAGGTCTCCAGTTCTTCTTTAACTCAGACTTGTTTAGAGGCGCCCCATGACCGCGGCAGACTCATGCCGAACTATAAGTTTCTGATAGCTGTGCAACCGACTGCATCGACATGCTGCCGGGCAGCCGTTCAGGCTCATCCAAGCGCCGTCCAACTGCTCGCCGTTGGCAGTCTCTCTGAAGCCCATGCCCTGGCAAGCAAGCAGCAACATCTTCATGCTCCACGACACACCCAGCTCGGCTAAAAGACCGGCCAACCAGCCTTGGTCGGAGTTCTTGTGGTCGTGCAGGTCCCAATCCCTAAACCCTAACTCGGAGTGCTGTGCTCTCTTGCAGGTAGCTCGACCTGGCCCAATGCTTTGCTGCCTTCACATCCGTGAAGATGCAGTGGCGAGATGCTTCGTGGCCGGGTCCCGGAAACGATTTTATCAATTTCAATACTAATACTAGTAATCATAACCATCATCATCATAGTCATGATCAGAGTAGTAGTCATAATAGCAATCAATACAATAGCTACAGTAGTCTTGTTTTTGAAATATAGAGAAAAGTCAGACTCTATAGTTTCAGTGTCACCATCCCTGACGATCCCGCCTGGATACGTCTGGCGGAGATACGATTGTGCGGCACCCAGCCTGATCAAGGGGCTACGCCTCTCTTTACCTTCTGTAAACGCATAATACTCTACTATATACTGCAGGGTTTAGGGTTTAGGGTTTGGGGGTTTACGGTTTAATAGTTTAAGTAAACTTAATGTCCTCGGAGGGTGCAACACATAAACTTATAGGAGATCCCAGATCATGGCATGCCGACTGGGCATCTGCAGGAGCTTCTGCAGAAGGTTCCAGGGGGCTGTTATGAGGATCGGAGGAGCGGCTGTGTACTTGTTTTTTTTTTGCAACACTGGCAAGGTATCGGACTTATCGGATACGAGGCTTCCAGAAGTTTAGTTTAATGTTTGCTTCGGATGAAGGCAGGCTGCAACCAGCTACAGGCTAAGTCCACGAGTAATGCGGCGAAGAAAGCTGCATTCCACGCACCGCAGGATCCTGGCATGTTCGTTTCAACAGCCCCAGTTCTCGGACAGTTCCTTTGTTCAGGGGGAGGAATCGGAGCCGACAGGAGGGTTGCGCAGCCAAGCCACGGGTGTCTCCAGGAACGAAGCTCAAGTAGAAGTTTCCGCGCCTGAGCTGGTCGTCTCGCTTCATGCTTCTGTGCACCACCGAAAATTGCGAAAGAGATCGGTAATTATTAGTCTGTGCCTAGTTTCTACTTTCCTTGTGCCTCAGCTATCCCAGGCCGAAGCGCTGTGCAATGGCCAAGTACTCGCCCTTGGAGTTTCGCTTGATGGACTTGACCTTGCGCAACACCAGTTCAGCAGTGGGGTAGATACTCGGATGTGAGTGAGGCTTCTCGCTGGCACATTAGGGTTTGTCCCTAAGCTAGCAAGACACGTCGCCCTGCCTCTTGAGTCCGCATTCCCGCCACCAGGATGTGAACAGCTCGGTTCGATCTTTGATACCAGAACTATGAAATGAGTAAGGTTGCAAGGTTATTACCTTTTTTTTTGCTTCGGGACTCCATGGATTTGCCCCTATAACCTTAGGGATTGGCATTTCTCTGTCCTGGTCGGTGCTGGCCTTCGCATCACCCTACGCACAGTGAGGAAAGCCCAACAAAACACCGCCCACGAAGAAACACTCATGCTGAGAAGGGGGCACTTCCGGTGAAGTAGCTTCCGCCGGAAACACCGCTCTGGGAGACGCGATTCAGCGTTGCGTCGATGGTCTCCTGATGCCCCCAACAACTTCAGTGTTGCACACTCCCTGCCAGCAGCTTCAACATCGTCAAATCCTCGGAAGTTAAAATGCCGAAAGACAACAAACACAATCGACAGCTGAAAGCTTTATAAGCTTCAAATCCTGCATGGCTATTCCGTGAACCTCCGAAAGGGTGGCTGTGGCTTTGGAAAACTCGGAAAACTGGAGGCACGGCTTTTACAGCATCGGTCGGAAGCAGCTGGCGCAGTGGGACGAAGCAGGGATGCAGCTCGGATCTGCGTTCCATTGCAGCTGGTGGCTTTCGTGCATGTCAGCACCGATTTCGGTAAACTCCGTGTCTCCGTGTTGTTTCAATCCGGTCTCCGTCCTCATGACCCTGCACCCAACATCATGAGATCTCGTGTGATCCTACAAGCCCTGAAGCATGAGGCTGGTCAAATTAAATCAGCCACTGGTTCTGAAGAATACCATCCTCCATATATATATATATATGTATATATATATATATATATACATAGGTTATTACACTGACATATTCGGGAATGATAACCTATGTATACATATATATATATATATATGCATGCATGTATACGTATATCTATACGTATATTTATTGGTTTATCTGTTTTATGTACTTATGTATTTATTTAGAACCTACCGATTGCAAACATACAAACAAACATACATACAGACATACAGACATACAAACATACATACACACATGCGTACATACATTACATATATATATATATATACACGGTACATACAGCTGTATGCATGGCATGCACGCATGCATACCTAGGACATCGCCTTTGGCCCTAGGCTGGAAAGCCGGAATCTAATATCCAAAGTTGGCCTAGGCACAGACACTTGCGACTTCCAATTCTTGCCATCGTTCTCGGTCACCTCACGAAAGCTGCGAACATCAAAGCCGCTCCGACACTTCAGCATGTTGCAGGGGCTCGATTTTATTTTGAGTTGTTGGTGTGTCTGTTGATTGTCCTCTGGTTTCTACTTTCTGAACTCGGTCTCCGGCAGTAGTTACCAAAATAATGACCCTATACCTCAGAACGAGGCTCTTAAACCCGAAACCTGAAATCCTAACAGGAAGCCCGACAAACTGGTGTTTCGCCGAGAAGCATAGATAGCCCCACTGGAGGTTGCCATCTCCGCCTTGCCCGGTCCCAGGGCAACGATGACCTGCGAGAATCTCCCTTGAACCCTCAAAAATATCTGGGTCTCAAGTTGCGTGGTCGATGGACAACCTCATAGCCCGGTTTAAGGGTAATGAAAACTTTGCCTCTCGTTCTGACGATCGCAAGTTGAAAATGTCAAGGCATCTCGCCATCCTATCGGAACCCTCTCGCAACGTTTCCTTCCTCCTCTGAAACCTGGTCCGGTGGAGCATTGCATCAACCAAGTTCTGTACTGACTGAGTCACGACCCATATGTGGTGAAAGGCCCGCATTTCTCCAGGATCAGGTGACGAATATAGAGCCAACAAAGACCCGGCTCAATGTGTCCACCTTGGCAACTGTAACCTGACACCTACGTACTGTTAATGCTACGAAAAACCGACCTGCGTGAAAGAGTATTAGAGACCCGAGGTTGCAGAAGCAAGGCCATGGTCATCAGAATCATGTGGGCCGCTCACCAAGTTAGCTTGCTTTACAAGTGTGCACTTGTGCAACCGCCGTACAACCCTCATGAAACCCTTTGTTTTAGGGGTTCCTTGATGCCAGGCAAGTTGCCACAAACTGCTCCGCAACCCGAAACCCTTCGCTCTTTAACACTGAACTGTCACTAAACCCCTTCAAATCTCCACCCTAAAACTCTCCACCTTAACACACACCAAACCGCAAAAAAACTTTAAAAACAGAACCCATAGACCGACGGTCAGACATTGTGGTCGAAGGCCGTTAGGCCTTCGGCTCGCCAGGGAGCTTCTTTGAGACGGGCACCTTCTTCCAGCTCTTGCCGCCTGCGCTGCTTTGGGTTTTGGGTGTGATTAAACTTTTCTTGACGGTTTCGGCACATTTGTTTGTTTAGGGTGTTGGGTTTGGGTTACTTGCAGAAAGGTGTTCGTGATTGGGGGCTTCTGGGACGTGTTGGGGCTTGTATATGGGAATGACAGATTCGGAAAAGTGCTGACAAGGCGCTGTCTTTGGAGTGGAGCAGAAGGGGTGGTTTGCCGACAATCCACACTTCGTCGCCATTGAGCGAAACAGTCCTCAGATCGAACCGCACAGTTTCACCATTGTTACAATCATAAAATTCTATTCGTGCCGACACCAACAACAATTTCAGTATTAGATGCCTGCAAACAGGGGGGGGAGGGGGGGTGCAGGAAGTATTTTCCAGAAAACATCGCTTGTGGGCTCGGGAGCGGTAGCTTCGCAGCTGACAAGTTTCCTCATGTTCCTCGATGCTTGAGCACTGGAGTCGACTGCCTAAAAATCGTTGCTTCACAACGGCGCGAACCCACGAGACCCCGTGCCTAAGAGCACATGAGCCCACTTCTGATACGTGGAGTTGCATAGTTCAAGCCCCCGTTTGAGTCAAATCCGGAACTCCTGAGAAAAGCCTCATAGTAGACTCTTGACGGAAAGGTTCGTACCTATAGTTCGGAAAGCTACCGAGGGATTCACCATACTCTGCGGTGTACCCGATGGTGAAGCAAGTTTTGAAAGCGCCATACCACGCAAGCCCGACACATTTGCTGCCGAGCACGGCGAGGTAAGCAAGAATAGTCCTCTCAAAGCTTACCCCTAACAACACGTCGGCAACCATGGAAACCGACCCTCTGCCAGGACGCTCTGCCTCAATACCCCGAACCTACAATGCTAAGTTCTTGAATTACACCTACACTACGGGAAGCAAACTCAACCGAAACCTTGGAAGCAGCTGGGTGGCTGAAAGCGGTAGCTGATGTCTTCACCTGAACCCAGCTTGGTGGGTGAAGGGTTTTGTCCTTCCTACCTAGCAATGTCTGCGTTTTTCCCACCCGCCCAGCTGACAATGTCGCTAGAGACTTCGATCGGATCTCAGAGGAGCGGTTGAAGGTTTAGGGCTTAGGGTCTGGTGTAACATGGTTTAACGAAGACTCTATCGTTTAGAGTTCACGGCCTATTTATACCATGAGGAGAAGTTGGCGAGTTGGTACTGCAGTCTGTCTGTCAACATACTTTCGGTTTGGTTGGTTTCAGGCTTTGAGAGTAGAGTGACATGCTGCTGATGTTTTAAATCCTGCATTTCCTTGAGGACCCTCAACTATGGGAATTATGGTATATGCCTTAATATGGGTAATGCCGGATTTACATCATCAACCGTGGCTTCGTTGACGAAGATGCAGTTTGATTTACCGATGCTATATGTGTGCATGTGGAATGGTCGGTTAAAAGTAGAAGGGCATCTTCCCAGACGGAGCTCTTAAGAGGAAACTGCTCGGCGCGAGGTCACATGTCACCCCAAGCCAAGGATGACAGCACAATGCAGAAAGATTTGAGGCTCAGAAACGCGAAAGCCCTTGGAGTGAGCCGTGTTGGTTTCAAGCAGTGGGTGCGCAAGCAAGTATTTAAATGTAGACGAAACATGAGTTGTTAGAAAGCGGATCGCATGGCCATCTCAGGTAGCTGCCCAGGGTATCCTTTCATGTTGCATTTCATCCAAGTAGTGCAACTTCGCCACAAACATGACGCACACTGGAAACGCTTGCTTCACATCTAAGTCTCGTGCCTTTGCCCAGGTTGGCGAAGGAGCGCGAGACCCATCGCTGTCCTTGAGGCGTGTATTCGGAAAATGCGAAGAGATCACCACATCACGGTCTCTAAACCCTAAACCCCTAAACCCCAACCCCTAAACCCTTTTTTCTATACGAGTACCTCCCGTGCTGACCAGATGCCGCCATCCCGAGTCTCGTAGAACAGAGCGCGGGCCCCCACGATGAATCCTAAGGGCTCTATAAGGGTCAGGGTAAAGAGGTTTAGAGCCTGTTTTTTGCCTCCTACTTAGCAGCCTGTTTAGGGTTTAGGGTTTAGGGCCCAGGGTAAAGAAGTTTAGAGTTTAACTGAGGGGGAACCTAATAGATTTGTGAGTTACCCGCTTCTTGTGGTTCATGTTGGGGGGTCCGCCGGCAACGGTTTTCGGATGGATGAACAAACATCCGATATCATTCCGATATCCTTGACATAGACAGAGCCACCAAGTCTTGTGACTGTTGGCAAAATTGGCGCCATCCTGACCGCCTGCATGTTCTCTGGCCCAAAGCAGATGAACAAATCCAAAAGCAAGATTCCGGCCCTCCGGTTGGTTTGCTTGCATTCTCCGCAGTCTGCCGGTCTACGCCATCCCAAGAAGGAGTGTTTGCGTCGTGCGTCTGTGTGTGTGTGTGTGAGTGTGTGTGTGTGTAGGTGTAGTAGTAGTAGTAGTAGTAGTAGTAGCAGTAGCAGTAGCAGTAGCAGTAGCAGTGGCAGTAGCAGTAGCAGTAGCAGTAGCAGTAGCAGTAGCAGTGGTGGTAGTAGTAGTAGTAGTAGTAGTAGTAGTAGTAGTAGTAGTAGTAGACTGCTGAACATACTTATCCAACATGGGTGTGAAAGAACCACTCAACTACGAGCGCACACATTCATGTTAAAA